GTTGCCCCCTCCTGCCAGAATCTACTGACAGTGGGTGTTTAATTTGAAAGCTTTTCTCCTTGGACGTGGTATGCTATTACTTTTATCAACTTAAAAAAACTAATTGTATGTTTCCAGATTTTTGTTTTCTAAAGCACTTTGGGGTTTTTGAATAAAAAATTAGGATTATTTATTATAGAGGTACTGAGGGCATGCAAATAAGGACAGGGTAGGGCACATATGTTACAAAACAGGAAGGCACGAGCTTTTCCTCTGACCTATAGAACTTTACACTTCAAGAAACTGTGGTGATGCATGCCTGTAATCCCAGCTACTGAGAAGGCTGAGGCAGGAAATTGTACGTTAAAGCTCAGCCTGGGCAGTTTACAAAGACCCTGTCTCAAGAAAACAGAGTTGGAGATGGAGCTCAGTGCTCTCTGAGGGGAAAAAAGTTAGACAAAGGGAAAAGGTAAAAAGCCTTAGGCAAATATTTCTGTGAGGAAAGAACTATAAATCAGTTCTTAAAATTATGTTTGATGCAACACACTGCAACACACTGCAGTGTATACAGTGGCCAGAGCACCTGGAAACCAAAACAATGCCTGCTATTTGGACCAATACAAAATGACAAAAATTGGGGAAATACAATTTTCAACATATCACTAAAATTATATTTCACTCGAATGAAGTATTAATGACAACTTCTTTGGTTAGATTTAAAATAGCTGGCTTTTGGGAAGTATGGGTATATAAAACTCAGCAAGACTTGTTTTTACTTGCAAACACTACTTAAAATTACAGATGTCCAGAAATAGTTCATAAATTTTTATCATGTATATGATACAGAACTTTTTAATTCAACAAAGTTTTCAGGTCCTACACCTTATGGGAAATAATTAAAATGTTATCTATAAAGTCCAGTAAGTAAAATGTTCTCTTTTCAGGTCATGTATCTTCTCCTTAGCATCTCCTTATATTCTTGTGATGCTTCTAAAATTAGATCATCACTTGACTTATTAGCAAATCTTCTGGGAGGAACTTGAAAGGTTTTCAAATCAGCAACAGCAGCTGGAAAGAAAAAG